CATTAAACATGCCCATCTCAACTGAAGAACCAGTGGTTAACACAGACGTGATAGCAGCAGAGGTTATGAGACATATTCCACGAAATAGTCATAAAAACGCCAAGTTAATATTGGAGATGTTGTCAAAGACACCACGGGTGGTTACTTGGAATGGAGATGGTGAAGTTGTGATTAACGGTAGTGTTGTAAAGGGCTCTCATGTTTATGACCCTCCATTAAGAATGTCACAGCTAGTCATAATATACTAGAAATTTCAAGACCTATTGGATGGTCTTTGTTTTTAAAAACACTAGCCGAAATGAATATTCCCCAATCTGTCATTCCTAACACTATGGTTCGTAGAACTATTAATGAGTTTAAAAATATCCCTCCTTCTGATGTTTATGGGACGCCCTTAGTTAGTGCTAAACGTAAAAGATCACGTAAATTCATCACTCCTTTAGTCACCAAGAGTGGAGCAAGTTGGTTAAGTTTTTAAATCTTTATGATTGAAATGTTTTCACGTGTGTTTATCATTCTGTATGACAAAATGTATCACTTATTATGTGTTTATCATTCTGTATAACGTAATGTATCACTTATTATCATTCTGCATGGAAAATAAAAGATTATACTTAAATTCTCAATGATTTTTATTATGCACTACACATTGTACACAGTCGAAATCAGTTTCACTACATATGGCCACAGGTTGTATAGCATTAACAAAATGACATACCAAGGAATCGTTACAAGCCAAGTTGGAATCATACACACGGATAAACTCTTTATAACTTGAACCTTTTAACATGTGGCATAGAAAAAATACACAATGTTGTCCACATGTTACAGAAAGATGACTCTGTACCTGTTTTATGGAATGGTAAAAACCTTCACTATTCTCCCTCATAAATCTATTAATACTATTTGGAAAACTTTTATAAGCTGGTCCGTTGCCGAAGCTGTCAAAGAAGTATCCGCACCTATCTTTAGAAAAGTAGGCCGCTACCCAGTGTTCTCCAGGAAGGGTGGAGGGATGTGTGTTAATGATGGCACACGCTGGATAACGTTTTATGACACTGGGTAAACGGTCTGATGGGAAAACACCTAGGAAACCCGTGGCTTTTTTGACACACAGCTTCATGATGCTCGTTAACTCTATAGTATTCATTAGTACGGCATCTAATAATAGTCTAAAAGCACTTGCCTTCTGTTTGAAATCTCAATAATGGAATCAAAAACTGCATAGCAGATCAAATTAACGGTACGTGCTAGCGGTGTCCTAAACCTAGCTTCTAAACGTACGTTACCGGATTTAACTAGTGAGATATTACCACCATGGCCTTCATCGGCCTCTAAATTAAAACAGAACAGAGTGTAACCATCTGCAAAATCGTCTCGATCTATCGCAAGAGACCTGTCTTTTAAATGACGGCCCGTTGTCTGCACCAGCTGGTAATATTCACGTACATACTGCCCTCTATTAAACAATGGTTGAAAAGGCTTAGATGGGTAGGATTGACCGTCTACGTATAAACTCATAAATTCAGTATCAAAATGCTGGAAATTATAAGGATTTAGGGTATAGCTCCCCGTGTACGCCTCGTTGTCAATAAAACACACAATTAAGAATTTAGGTATTTTGCCTAAATAAAGATTGTCTTGGTTGCAAACTCTAGTACCACTAGGTATTGAAAACGTCTTTAAAGCAACACGATCAATAGCATATTTCGCATTGGTATGTTGTAAAGCCCTGCTGTGCCCGAGTCTAACCATAGGGGCTACAGCGACTTTCTTAACAAAAATAGATGCTGAAACTATTTTCACACGGTACTTGGGATCATTAGCCCCAGACATCAGTACAAATTCATCTTTAGACCGCATAAATTTCAATGACATGTCTACACCGTTTAAAATGAGTTTTTCTTGAAAAAATATATCCGAATGTATAGGACCGATCAATTCTACAATACGACCATTGTCTGTAAATGTACCTCTCTTATTTAAACCTAGGTTATTACCGACTATACTAGCCGCATTCATATGGCCGGTAGTGTCTTTACAAAACAAGGCTGTACCAAATTGAGTGTCTAATGTATCCTTACTGTAATTAACCAAACATTCTAGAATCCCTCTATAAGGATAAGTGTTAGATGACTGAGTAATTAATTTATCACCCAGCATTATATCCACTTGCGAAAACAGTGATGTAGTAGGATAATTTACAAAACCCACGTCGGCCCCCGCAGCCACGGTGGTACCATCAGCGTTTAAAAGTTTGGTGCGTAGAAATATATACGAGTCATTCAAGTCTATATAATCTTCACCGCTCCCTGTTATGTGGAATTCTATAGGCCCGGTGTCTGTTATGGCTGAAATTGGTGGGATTTCTATGAATGTACTCTTTTCAATAGAAGTTTGGGTGATTGGCAGAGTAAAAAGGTCCAATTCCGTCTTGACGCATTCCTTAGAGTCGCTGTGTAATAAGGCCATATTTTAAAATATGTCACGCGACAGCTCCGTCAGCTTTGACTGCTTCCTCGGTCTGGTGTTTCGCTTGTGTGATAATTTGCGCTTGCGAGTTGTTTTACGTGGGTGTGTCGCTAGCTTCGCACCAGGGGGGTGGCTTTGAGGTTTTTTAGTATATACAAGCATGCCTCTACCATCCTGTTCATCACCCATCACCTTTGAGACAGCTGCTTTAGAAACTCGGTTTGTTATGTCGTTTATGATATTACCCGCTGCTGTTTTCAAATGGGGTTTTAACACGTTGAGGCCTTTATGCAATAGAGGCATACCCCATCTGAATAATCCACGAAATATTCCACCTAATCCATTTCCATATTGGGTCTGCGCCCCCCTGAATCCCGGCAGGTCCCCTCCTGCCTGAGACAGGTAGTAAGCTATGTATTTAGACTCATCCGCTCTGTGTGGCATATAAACCATTTTTACGTCTAAAATGTAGTTTCAAAATTACTTTCCCGTATAAAAACGGAATATGCTTGTTTTGATCGTTTTTAAAAGATATTTCAATATCGTCTATGACTGATTTAGACACGGGGGTGTAATGAGGCTTATCATAGGTTACCGTTGGATATGATGCATTTTGATTTGTAATATTTATCACGCGTAGTATAGGGGCGTGGCTGTCACCCACCAGCTGATAGTCGACAATATCAGTGTATATAAAAAAATTATAACATCCTGCGTATATATCTGCTGGATACGGTGCTCCAAACGGGTTAATTTGGTCATCGGGTATGTAGACACTCGCCTGATTTTCAAAACCCAAGATAATAGCTAATAACCCGTAAAATGTCAACGTGTGTCCTGCTGCTTCATGTATAGTAATTTTGTTGTTAATGTTGTTGTATTGTAAGTGAATATTCCCCGTTATCGCGTTAGTTGATAAAGCATAATTAATTTCCTTCACTATTCTGTCCATGGATTCATAAAACCCTACTGTAATCTCTATAACGTCCGAGTTTCCTGTAGGTGTGATGACGATCATTTTTGCTGCTCTTTCATCGAAAGATTTCCAAATTCTAGGATATTGAACTTCAATTAAACCTACTTCATAAGGCTCTGTTAATAAGAGGGATCGTGCAAGTTTGTTTCTAAATTTCCATATTTTGTTATTTGGGTAAACCTCCATAGAAGCGTTGCTAGCGAGGGTAACATAAAATCCTTCATTATGATTCATTGGTTCTTCTTCCTATATGTCTATAACCTCCTTAGCATTTATCCACGAGTTAAACTCCTTAGGCCAACCGATCCAGCTAACAAAATGCTGTTTAGTTTTGCCCACACGCTTTGTTTTTAAAATATCTTGAATTTTAAAAACTCTGTTATGTTCGATAATGACACGTTGTAGTTCTGATTCATAAAAAGTCCCTTGCAATAACGCCTCTGACAGGTCCTTCAATCTATAGACAGGTGGTGTTCGGCCTATGCGCTCAGCTATTGTGAAATATTCATCCGTGAAACTCTGCTCATATCCTTTACGAAAAATCCCTTTCTTTTTAGATATTCGTACTGTGTCACCTAATCCATATTTAAAAAGTAGTTGCTTTGTCGGCTTCTTCTTGTATAATGCCTTAAAAACCTGTGCCTCATTATCTTTATTCACACTCACAGGTGTCATCTTGATACTTTGATGGTATGCATGATTATATCCATGGACTAGTTGATCCAACACGTCTATGTACCGTCGCGAATTTACCGATGTTAAATATCTCCACATTCGGGTCTTGAAAGTACGGTTGAATCGCTCAACCACGCTGGCCTTTGTTTCATTCGCCGTGGAAAAATGTTTAATTTGATAGGCACTCAACACATTCTGGAAATGCTTATTATAAAATTCTTTTCCATGATCTGTTTGTAGTTTTAGAGGGATCCGTCCTTCACTTAGAATTTGTTTAAACACTTCTGACACTTCTGGACCCTTTTTCGATTTGAGACACTTCACCCACGCATATTTTGAAAATACATCTATACAAGTTAGTAAATACCGAACATTATCATTTTCATTGACATATTCTGTCATATCTACTAAATCAGCCTGAAATTGATTGTCTATGCCATTTACTAGCACTCTGTTAGTTGGAAAATTTATCCTAGGTGATGTATGGAGTGTATAAACGTCTTGTTTAAGTAGATAATTTTGGACTTGAGGTCTCGTAATATTAACCCCTTCCAATTCGTTAACCACCTTGTACAACTTATTAAAACCACCTAGACCCCCTGGGTGCTTAGGGTCATTGTATATTTTACTAAGAGTACCTTCCATGTTGAAGAACTTTGAGACACTGAGTTATAAAAGATGTTTTATTAGCTTTAAAAATAAAAAAAATAAACAACACACACACATACAGTGTCTCATCATGCGTTATTCCCTTCCCACACAGACAATGCCTCATCAAGAAAACTTTTCTCGTCAGTTAGTGAATCCGTCATATCTTGTATTACAGCATTCAAATCGTCTTGCGTGAACACGTACAACAGCGCGTCGACCGCCCCCTTCAGACGTTGTCTAGGCAACACCACGCCTTGTGTTGCTAGGTAAGCTTCGACAGCTGGTATGAAACGTACATTCCACAATTCAGGAAGTCGTTTTTTACCGAGAGTATGGTAGAAATATTCGGGGTATCTCTCCAAACAGCTGTGCTGGATCTGACTCGGGTGGTCAACCTCGCAACCATAACACTCTGCCTTCCAACTCTTGATCATTTGAGCATCAATTAGGTATAAAAGGATCTTCCGCAAATTCAATATGAAATGCTCTGATTCATCTGTGAAACCCTCTGTGGGCTCTGGCTCCTTCTCCGCGGGGGATTCAGGCTCCTTCTCCGCGGGGGATTCTGGCTCCTTCTCAGCATTCTCTGGTGTGACTAAAAAAACATTCTGTTAGTAACAATATAGTGTTAAAATAATAATAATCACTTATACACACCATAAGCGACAGCATTGTCATCATTAAGGACCGGGGATTGTGGTAGGAGTGAGATTTCCAATTCATCAGTCGCATCTGTTTCACTTCCATCTTTTAAAGAACATAGAGGGGTATTAATTAAAAATATATACTGAATATCTTTAAATAACCGTACCTGTTGACTGTGTGTTTTCATCACCCTCTGGGGACGCCTCGATACTTGCTTCCTCCATTGGTTGTCCTCCTGTGGAATATAAACATTATTACGGTGTATAGAAAATACAATAAATACGTTAGTAATACTTACCATAATCTCTTGTTGTTGTTGTTGTATTCAGAGGGAACCGCATATTAGCTGTTTCAGTCTCAGCTTCCAGATATCGCAGTCGTTTTTTAACAGTTTCCAACTCCATGTAAAAGTAATCTTTTTGAACAGCTTTATCAATTTTGCTAAATATTCTAGATACTTCAGGCCAATCCTTGTACTGTACAGAAACAATATTCACCTGTTTTTTGGGTAAGACACCCGATGTAACACATTCAGCGTAATTATGTAATTTAATTTGCACAAGACCCTTGTTTTCTACGTCTGCAGGGTCATTCGTAACCACTAGCTCATAATCTCCTTTGTTATCCTCTCTCCAAGAATGTCTATACTCTACATTTTTAACCATAGCCGTATTTATAGCGTTGGAGTGTGTCCTGAAATGGAACCAACTCGCTATAGACATGGTTTCCTCCCCAAAAATAACATACCCAGCGGCGTACGTAAATGTATAAGACGCCTCACTTCTTCCTTGCCGTGTGACGGTGTACGGTTTACGCTTAAGACCTTTCGTTGTTAGGGAGCGTCTTTTCGATGACTTCTGGGCTGACATCTGAGATCTTTGCGGAGTTGTCATTATAGCTTTGTTGGAGAGGAAAAAAAAAAAAGCTATTCTTGTGTGTAATCACAGGCCTATATAGGGACGCTCCTTAAACAGAGCAACCTATCAAACCCTCCTCAGTCTAATAGGACGGTGTAAACAGACCTCCCACCCATTCTGATTTGTTGTTAGTACACCCTCCCAACCGTCATCATGATAACGCTATCACACAAACACACCTAAGTGTCGTTAACAGGTCCTCCCTGCAGCTTAGCTATTCCTAACTGTTTTAGAATAAACCGTGATCATAAATCACTTTAGACAACTGTGAAGCATTTACTTTATCACACACACACAGGGTCAACAGAATCTAACTCATTAAAACTCTTTGAAAAATACCGTGCAGTAACACCTTTCACCACTTGCTCAAGAGCGCCGTCCCCTTTCTGGGGAGTTTTAGGGTGCAGTACCACCTTTTCACCACTTGCTCAATACTGGTGTCTCTACTATCTACTATTGATAAAAGCACATTAATATGCATGGATAGAAGGAAAGCCCTCTGACTACCTCAGCAGCTCCTGCTGCTTGTTGTTTTGGGGAAATTAATTTAATAAGTGGATCAGTAAAGCGCTGTGATGGCCGCCCAGGCTCCAATTAGCATATTAATGTAGCATGGAGCCTGCAGTCTGCAATGTTTATAGACACAGGGCTGAGGTGACTACCTTTAATTACCTTGATTTTGTACGCTTCGACACAAACTGACTGAGGGAGACGTTTTCAGAAGGCACATGCAACACTGACATTAAATATTTCATAGATTTGTTCTAAATGACATGGTCAATGCGCTAAACAACTGGATAATACTGATATTACAATTACAACATCTAACTTGTGATGTGTTTTAATGTATTGTGATTTCATTCTGAGGTTATTACTATTCTCCGCACAGATCAATATGTAATTGTGTTTTTGAACCTGGAGCGTTGTAGCTTCAATCATCAACATATGGTGGGTGCAGTTTAACAACCCAAGGCCATGTACAGAGTTTTGAATATTACATAACAATAGGCAGCAAAACATAATGATACAGATCCAGGTCTCCAGTATTTGCAAACATGCACATGTTGTATGTACATAACATGCAGGTGGAGCTCAGCCAACAACTTTTTCATATTTTGTTTTGTGATTTTTCAAACAACACTTCCTAGTCCCCCTGTGTTTCAGTCTCATGTTATGACCTTGCTATTTCTGACAACCATTTTCTTTCTCTGTGAAGCATAGATCCAAGTAGATGTCTCCGTAAGAGGCTGTGCTTTGATCAGAATGTCTCGTCACAGTGACATACAGTCAGAGCAGAGCTGTGATCTGGCACAGTCTTCTTCAAACCGGAATCTCACTTTACCTGTCACAGGCTTTGTCTTTCATTCCGATGTTTCCACGCATCTCTTGCAAATTTTGCATTAATTGTACTGGAGATTTTGCTAATAATAAACATTTTACATAAACAGTAAAAAAATGGAAAATTGTCGATCTGCAGCATGGAGTTCTGCGAGCACTACCTTGTCTTTTACAAAGAGCCCCAAGCCCTGGTGATCCAAGATGGCGCCCTATTCAAATCAATGGCTTGTGCTCAGTAGCGCATGGGACATGCATGGGGGCCGAAACATTAGTGGAATTAGCCCATATTTGGGCATCGTCTGGTCCTCCCGGTTCTGCGCTGAGATGAGCTACCATGATGCTTTGCGCAAATACGCGTGTGTGGCTCTCATGCACATGCACAGAGAAGCTTGGTCGCGCGCTGACCAATCAGCGCTGCTGATCAGAGCAGTTTATACTGAATTATATGGGAACTTTTTCTGGGTAGCCCTTGTTAATTTAGTCTGCAGTACCACAGGCGCCCCCTGTGCCCATTGGTGGGACAGCTAAAAGCTAGTAATACCCTATCCTGTTATTATATAGAACCAGGAGGAACCCCAGCTCAGGTGATGTTCTCAGGAAGTGTCATGGCTGCATTCAGCTGCTGTGCATCCCAATGGACTGAAGTCCTCATCTCCATCATCAATGTGTAGATCTGCAGTGTTTGTAAGAAAGTTAGTTTTGCCGATTTCATATTAATAATCCTCTCAATGTAGCGCTACATGAGCATCATAACCAGGATTTTTTTTGATAACATTTTTGGTATGAATGAACACTGGCTTTTGTTGCTAATTTTCAGACCAGTGCCAAAAGCTGTTTTCACAGAAACAAAATTAACCCTTTTTAATTTATTTTGATTAAATGATAACAAATAAATAGAATAGAATACAATTATGAGTATTTGTGGAAGTGATGGCTGTGAAACAGACAGTTTCAGGTCTTTAAATTGGGTCTTAAACAATTCATTTTTCTCTTTGCCATTTGTTTAGAGCAACAAATGAGACTAAACATACTCCACAATGGGAATATTCAACCAGATTCTAGCCACAGAGATTTTTTCCCCTTTGTTTTCATTACAAGATTACAAGATGTTGTTAGCGATATCCCGCGGCGCCGAGCTTTGATGAACCTGATCCTGGTTTGTTTGTGTCGGACTTGGAGTCGACTCCGAGGCCAGCGGCACAGAGGGGGGCACGACAAGAGCACTAATAAAATCCTTCTTTAAGCCCCCAGATCACCACTTCGTCTACGCAGTAACCAGCCTCGTCCTCAGCTCGCCTCACTCCCATTACGCCTGCAGGAAAGCAGTCTTACCTGAAATATGCATCCTCAACTTTTACGTATGTGGTTGCAGAATTATTAATTTTGATCTTTCAACCAGGCATGTATATTCATCTCATTCTGAAATAAGTTCATAATGTTTGTTTGGTGTGTAGGTCATTTAAACATATATTTCCCAAAACACAATCAATCTATTCTAATGCTGCAGTTCTAATTATAGTATAGGATTCATATTCTAATACTAAGGCTATATCCACACGAAGACAAAACGCTTATAATTTCAGAAACTTTTTCTGTAAACACGGGGTTAGCTCAGTAAATGTGTGCGTCCATATGAATGTAGTCAATACGCCTGAAAACGCTGTGAAACTATGCCAGACCTGTTGGTGGCGCTGTGACGCAATGACGGGATCAAGCCCAAACTTCCGTGACGGGAACTGGGCATGCGCAGAATTTTGTAAACAGACAACATGGCGAGTGGGCGAGCTGGTACTACATTAGTATGGACGGACGATGAGGTTGAACTGTTGCCTCGGGTCACACTGGATTACAAAACCAACAAGCTACATTGTTGTTGTCATTATTTTCTGAGTGCGGCGCATGCGTGCTTTAACAAGAGGCGGGGCGATGACGCAAGCGTCTCAGATACATTGCGGAGAAGCAGTAACCACGGAGCGGCATATACGGAGTTTTGAAATCTTTCCACTCTGGGACCTACTTTCAAAAATGTTCGTTTACACCCCCCCAAAACGCCGGCCTCGTATGGACGATACACTGGATTGATAAAGTATTTTTGCGTTTAGGCCTGAGCTTGACTTCGTGTGGACAGGGCCTAATATTGCACTGGTTTATACTGAGCTTATTTTGGACTCACTTTTACACGGAATACACACACACACACACACACACACACACCTCAGATTCAGATTCAGATTCATTTATTGGCCATGTGCAGTATAAAAACTACATTGGAATACATTTGCAAAAAGAGGTACTCTGTGTGCACCGACAGAATAAAAGCACGATACAATGTAATATAAATACACATACACTGAATATAAAATAATAATAAAAACAGCTGACACTGTGGCACCGATCAACAAAACAATACAAGGGGTAAAAGCAGGAATTAAAGTGCTCTGCTTCTTTCCTAACAGCCTGTGGAAAGAAGCTGTTAGCATAGCGAGATGTCTTGCATCTCAGTGACCGATATCTTCTGCCAGAGGGAAGAAGCTGGAACATGGCTTTCCCAGGGTGGCCAGAAGAGTCACCGATGATTTTAAGAGCTTTGTTTAAAAGTCTGGATTTGTAAAGAACCTCCAGAACAGGAAGCTCACAGCCCACGGTCCTCTTTGCAGAGTGGAGCACCTTGTTTAAAGCTCTCTTTTCTTTATCTGTGATGTTTCCAAACCACACAGACACAGAACCAACAAGTAAACTCTCAATGGTGCAGCGATAAAAGTTAAGCAGAATCTTAGAGTTAGTGGTAAATTCTCTAAGTTTCCGCAAAAAGAAGAGCCGCTGACGAGCTTTCTTAACAACCCGGTCAGTGTTTTTAACCCATTTCAGGTCGTTAGACAGAGTTAGACCCAGAAACTTGCACTCCTCTACGATCTGCACCTGGGAGTTGTCAATAACAACAGGAGTGTGAGAACTGCTACGACTGAAGTCACACACTTCAAATCCACACACAGAAGCCGATGCAGTTAAAGAGGCCTCTGACATGGGGGCTCTGCAGTTCTTTAAAGACCTGTTGTTGCGGTAAGTAACAATAATTTATACAGTAACGGGGAAAAGGGCCACTCCGCTGAGTCCGCTCCAAACACGGTCCCCGGCTTAAGACTACGGCTACTTATGAATGTACGGAAAGAGTGTGATCATCGCACGGTAGTCACATCAAAGTTTCCAGTGTGTGCGAAGAATAAAGGAGAAGAGACTAGTAGAACAAAGTAGGGAAAGTGAAGTGCATTTTATGTTATATTGTCCTTTTCATGATACATTTAGATATTTATTGTTTCTTGAAAGATTATCTCACAATCCTGATCTGTTCTGGAGCAGGATGAAATGGTTATGTCAAAGTAAAGTGTTTAATTGTCTTCCATTTTGTGTAAAGCCTGGAAGAAACGGCAAACTCATATCTTGAGAGAATTTGTGTTTTTAAATGTTTATGTTTACGTGCCTGATGTTGGCCTGTGTCTTTGTATTTGTAATGGTGTCTTGGTCATCTTGGCTGGGCATCCTTCTATTCACGACACTATAATAAGAAAAAAACTATCTATCTCTCTATCTCTCATTGCTCAAATCAAAGCTTATCCTGAAGACGATCTCTTTAGATTGAAAATGAACATTCCACTTTTCAACGACATTTCGATCGTGCCGGATACCATATCCTCCTCGGTGTTTGAAGAGTGCTTGTAGAATGTCCGTAGAGTTCTTTTATCAGATGTTTTTTATCGCTGGACCAGTTTCTATTACTTAGCCCATGTAGACAAATGTAATAGTTTACATAATTACTATGTCATACGGCTTATATCTATTTTGTCTTGTATTACTTGTTTGCACCGTGAGCCACAGCAAATTCCTGGTTTGTGACCATCGGCTACTTTCAATGGCAAAACAAAAAAATCCATCCATCCATACATTTTCTTTCCCTTATTCCATTTCTGGGTCAGGGGGGGGCAGTCAGAGCCTCAACCAGTACACATAGCACCAGCCCCTCACTAATCTTCCTGCAGGTGGTGAGTCCACAGGAGCCTTGATCTTTCAGCAGGGGCTTCAGGCAAAGTGGGGTTAAGTGTCTTGCCCAAGGACACAACGACAGTAGTCATCAGTGGGGGTCGCGAAGTAGGTCTTGTGGTGGGCTCAAACCCATGACCTTCAGGCTCTAAAGGCCAATGCTCTACCAACTGAGCCACTGTAAAAAAATCTTACTCTGATTATTGCTTTTACACCATACAACTTTTGCTTTAGAAACATTGCTACTAACTACCATTCATACTAAAACTACCAAAGCTAATGGAATGTTTTTATTTTGAACAGGCGCTGTCTTCTACGCTGCTGTGTTTGTTTCTGCTTTTGCCACATCCAATCCATATGAACTGATGTGAACTTGAATAACCCCTCCTCTGTCTCCAGCTAACCTTGCATTGAGAGCAACATCTCTTGAGTCTCTTGGTTTATTGCCCAAGAGCTTGACTGTCCTCATCGCTGCTGCTGGATAGACATTATTATTGGTTTGAAGGGGAATGATAATGCCCCATGTCACAGCTAATCTTTATCACATAGTAAAGTATTCTCAAGGCTCAAAGGAGAGAGAGAAACGATGTTGTGGCAAAATACAATGAAAAGCATCCGCCAAAGAAGACGGTCTGAACTTTTGAGGTCAGCATTGTACAAGTGTGATCAGTGACGTAACCATTAAGCTAATTGTTGTGGGCCACGGGGCAGAGTGTCCTTTATCTCCCCTTGCCGTGAGCCAACCAGCTTAGTCTCATAGCAACAATGGAGAAATCTTACATGGCAACGTGTCCACACAAACTAGCCAATTTCAGCAAGACAGTAGGAGCTTGGACAACAACTTTGGAACAAAAAATTGCAAACTTTTCAAAACAAGATGTTATGTCATCTGAATTCCAGATATTGAACAAATAATATTTATTTTATTTATATTTGGTTTGCAGCCAAGTGTGAAGCAGCTGGGATGGGAATCAGCACCTCAAAATATGAGGCCATGGTGTCTCGGGGTCTTGTTCACGAGTGAGGGAAGGATGGAGCGTGAGATTGACAGGCGAATCGGTGCAGCGTGCGCAGTGATGCGGCCGCTGTATCGGACCGTCGTGGTGAAGAGGGAGAGCTCGAGCTGAGGCCAAAGGCAAAGCGCTCAATCTACCGGTCGTTATTCCCTGCCTCACCTATGGTCATGAGCTTTGGATAGTGACTGAAAAGTACGAGATTGCAGATACAAGCAGTCGAAATGGGCGGTCAAGTGGCTGGGTGCTCTCTTAGAGATAGGGTGAGGAGCTCAGTCACACGGGAGGAGCTCGGAGTAGAGCCGCTGCTTCTCCACGTCAAGAGGGGCCAGTTGAAGCGGCTCAGTTCTGGACGCCCCCCCAGAGAGGTGTTCCGGGCACGTCCCATCGGGAAGAGACCCCAGTGAAGACCCAGGACATGCTGGAGGGACTGTGTCTCTCAGCTGGCCTGGGAACGCCTCGGGGTCCCCCTGGATGAGCTGGACGAGGTGTGATCCAGAAGCAGCTGAACGAATTAAGCAGAATAAAAAGTTTTATTTGATTTAGCTTTATTTAAAACAAATCTAAATCATGAACTAATTGGTGAACAGTAGACAATGCTTTCTTTGAAGATCCCGGAATCCTTTTAAGCCTCTTTGACAGATTTTTTTTCATTTCTTCCCCCCTTTCTCCCAAACCAGTGATTTTGCACTTCTATTAAACATGGGAAGCGAATGCATGAAACACTATTGTAATTATAATTTGGATAATTATTCTTATGAAGAGCAGGACAATGATTCTGATGATTGATGTAAAATGTCTTCCTATGTGATGCTGCAAAAGATTATTTAATATAATGAACTTGAAAATACAGTTAAGTTGGGTTACTGCCTTTTGATTCGCTCAGCTTTGCAGTTCAGACGCTCTTGTTAATTATGAGGAGTTTACTTGAAGCATGTTTTTGTGGCTTTCATAATTTTATTTTGAAAAAGACTAGTCCATGGATGAATCATGCACTTTGGTGACCTAAATAAGGACTTTCAAGCACAATCATCTGTACTAGTTTATACAAGAGTTTTGATGAGAAAAGCAGATTCACATCAGACCACAAAAGCCTTCATTAGGCAGTGAAATTCTCTGCTTTTGTACATCATCTCTGTCTTTTCATGTGATGGAGCTGCTGGTCTGTTTGCTTGTCAAATTGCCTCAAAATGAACATTTATTTATATCAAAGTTATCCTTCTAATACATATCCATTTTTCAAACTTATTTAATCCATAACGGAAAGAACATTGACTTTATTCCTTCAGGGATTGCATCTGAATTACTACAACATAAGATGCTTCTGACCTCCATAAAAATGAAGAGAAAATTACTGAATTTGAAGTGTTACCATGGTATCTAGTCTGAAGAAGAAAAAAGTGAAAGATGATTTCCTCTGGCACTGCGGTGGTAGATATTGTTCATGTCCATTGAGAGCAGCAGCAGCAGCAGCAGCAACAGTAAACATCATGTGAGAGCTTTTGATTTACTTTAAAATGTCTTACTATGCATGAAATGAGAAATTCAGTATTTTGTCAAACTGAAAGAAGAGATATTTCAAATGGAACATACAACAAAAAACATCGACTGACACATTTGACAAAAAATTGAACTTGAAATCTTAATTTGGCTTCTTAAGAACAGCGCTTGAGGCGATCCCGCATTGCTGAAAGTGGGAATAAACAAAGGCAAAAAAATATGCCAACAAATGTCTTTTTCTCCGCATTAGACAGCGTATCATTCCCAAAACTGAGAATGATGGATTGGTTATTAGAGTATAGTGACTTTTTAATACAATAGTGTGACGAAACTATTTTTATCTGTGCAAGCTCATTATTTTCCCACTACCTTTTAGATTAAACGAGGAAGTCTCTGTCATTAAAGGTCCTACGGTAAACTGCCATTCTTATTTTAATTGCCTGCGTCGGGTTTGTGGTTATTTTGTTCTGTAACCACAAATAAAATACGATTTTGTTTGAATTCTTTGGTTATGACAGAAAGAACATATTAAATTGTGAAACATAACAGAGGTTTGTATACTAACCTGCTATAGCGGAACATGTATTAGGTTTTCCCAGTGTTAAAACATATAGCGCTATTTTGATATGTCTGAACTCTCTCCTTGTGTAAAATACAGATAATAGATCACATGAGGACAAAACCAAACTGGGGCGGGGCTATTTTGCACAAGGAGCTGCACTTGTTTCTTCCCTTCAATAAATGAATACTATTTTTGGAGAATTTTCTTTGCTGACAGACCCTTGCACTACTAGACAGACCCTTGCACCTAAAAACAATGGATCCTGAAGCACTGCGGACACAACCCTGAACCAAAGTTAAGGCACCATGCTGACCACTCATACAGCCACTGGATCACTACAAAATAAAAAAACGCAAAAATATAAACTTTTTTTGTGTGTGCATAGAATACTGCATGCCCCTTTAAACCAACTGAGACCATGTACAGTACATATACATTCTAGCATGCTTAGAATAGAAGTGTATTTAATTACTGTAAAATGTTCATAAATAGTGGATTTTTTTGTCTTCAGTGCAGAGTCAAATCTTGCCTTACCAAACTTGTGAAGAGAAAAAACTCGTGCTTTGACTGAATTACAACAGTTTTAATTGCCACATTGTTGAGACTGGAGATGTAGAGGCTGATTGCTGCTGCACTTCAGATTCCCGTATTCCACATGGACCTCGTCCCTGAGCTTTCTGCACGAGTGCATTGTGCTAAATGCCATCCGCAGCTGGGCCGGAGCTCACCGCGCTGCTCTTCACCACTGCACTTTTATTGATAGAAAGATCATCAAATCTGAAAAGGATCACCATGGTTACAGAATACAGACGGACCATAACAAAACTGGATTATAGCTGATGCTTTCAAGCCTTGGATAGTAAAGAACTCTAAACTTCACCTTTGCACCATTAATGTATCCATAAATGATGCCGCACACACCGCTTTAAAGTGAATAGTGTCTTTATAAAGTAATGTTTTGACTCGTTCTTCATGCACCATGAAGTATTTGAATAAGTTTAAGTTATGGATTAAAAGCCGCGCATCATTTCCTTTTGTTGTTTTCCCCTTCTGCACACGGCTCAATATGTTAAGATGATCAAAAGCTTTCCGAGGGCCACTTGAACCGCGCACTGATTTCATAATAAACCAATTTGCTGTATCCTTAATGGTTAAACTAATGAGCTTTAGCTATGAACTTTTGACACTCAAGGGGAAGGCTGTTGCATGCACAAAGACAACAGTGGAAAGAAAATACGGTTTGTGATAAGGTGGAGAAATAGTGGAAAAAATATGTCCAAATAACAGAAGGGGCAGATTACTTTCATTCATAGTAATCTTTCATTTGCTAATTTACAAATGGTGTTGTTTTTAACAGGCTGTTTGACGATGGCGGGTGACAGCCGGTCCTCACTCACCTGTTCCGTTTCTGTTCTCTTCTGGTTTTGATTAAAATGCAAGTTATGGAAAGAAAACAACGTTTGTTTTTCTCAGCTCGCCGCATCCTTATTAAGAGTGAGACTAATGAGGATGCACCGGTCTAGCTGTGCCATGTTTGATACCATATTTTATTAGGCATGCTTCTGATTCTTCAATGGCTTTCTTCACGGTTTTTGTGCTGTTATTTTATGTGGAGCAAAGATGAATTTCGACCGGTAGACAAGGAAGATCGGTCTCGATACTGATACAGACAAAACCAGTGAGGTGACTTGAGGTAATGCTGTTTCTCTTTCTCAGAAAACATATGGGTAAAATGGTGTTTGTCAAGTGTTATCTTGTAACTAGGGTTGGGAACCTCAAGGTACCTTACGATACGATGTGCGATACAAAGCTTTCGATAACGATTATCTCACGATATGACGATGCAACGATTATTGATATATTGGTCAAAAATATACCTACGATAATATTTTTTTATATGGCATAAAATAAGTGAGAAAATACACTTTATTTCAAGATAAATGGATAAAGTGTCATGTGTAACATTAAAGTGAACAAGTAAAAATGCCTTTTAACGTGCACATTTTAGTAAAAATATTACTTAATCTGTCTTACATCCAATAAAATCAATATGAACATTCTACAGAAATTGTAGAATGTGTAATGTAGCCATTTATTAAGTATCAATTCTTTTTTTTCATATAAAGCTTAAAAAAAATAAAAAATTTTTTTATAATTTATTATATTTTTTTTTATAAATCAATACTTGGCAAAAGCATATCAATAATCAATTGCATGAGAAAGTATCACGATACATCACCAGATCGATATATTGTGACACTCCTACTTGTAACTATAGAACGTTTGTGAGTACAAATTCAACGATGTATTTTTACTGAAATTGTGGAACACATTTTCAATTCAACAGATTATTGGGTGTTATTTATATAAATCATACATCAAAATGTATGTAATGGTAAGATATATATGTGTGTGTGTGTGTGTGTGTACGTGCGTGGTTCCAACTTCTCTAACAATTGCTAAATAACCCCTCTCCCCTTCTGCTTCGCTCGACCCCTTTTCAAACTGTATTGTGGTTTACATCTTTTGCTTCCTGTTTATAGATTTTTTTGTCTTTTGTATATGAGTGAAAAAAGACTAATACTACCTTCCCAAAAAATAATTCCAATTGTTCAGTGTAAGCGCACAAAGAACACAACGGTTAAATTTCTCCCTCTTCGTTTAGCACTGCTCAAGTCGCAAGAAAAGCACAATAAAAACACTTCACACATCTTTTAATAAGCCCATTTCAGAAGTACACATTCTCAGTAAAAAGTCTCCAAGGCAGTTTTTGTTTACCGTCAAAACCACAGCAGGGCTCCAACCAAAAAAGTCAAACAAAGAAATACCAAGATTATATGGTAAAGACTGATATTTATTTTCTCACCACAGATAAAAAGAAGAACCATGCGGACTCATCACAGAAAGTAAAGCAGAAACAGTCCATGTCTTTGCACTTTGACGTTGCTGTCACAGTTTGTGGATAATAACACGCCATCCAGTTTTATAAAAATCAGAGAATATGTCCCCATACACCTACCCCAAAGACGTCACCCTCTATTCATTGAGTCCCGCCCGAACACTGATCACATTTGAATAAGTAACGTGGCGCTTAGTCCCCGGCAGTCTTAATAACTTGGAACAGTGTGACGTTGTAGAGCACTTGATGTCCATTATTCCAAGTATAGAGCACTCTTTCTCTGGGATTATAGTCCATCATGGAAATATGTGAATACTGATTGTGAAAGGGGATATCCGTGTACTCGTAAGTGGACGTGTTGGTGTAATAGGCGAAGTAGATTTTTGCTCCAGCGAGATGGGAGTTGGTGACGTAAAGCGTGCCGCAAATCATAAAGGACTCACCCGCGCTTCTTTTGGGGAATCCGGTGTCCCAAGTCTGAAGCACGTCCAGACTCTGAGGCTCCAAGCGGCTGATGACGATGTTCCCCGCGTTCGGGATAGTGGTGTACACGGCCCATAGACCGTTCTCGTCCGCCATTAGATCGATGTCTGAAGATCCGCCCCATGAGTAGGGAAAAGTGTTGTTGTAGCCCGCGCCGCTAAGACTCCTCTGTATCAGCACACTGCGGGAGCGGAAGTGGTATTTGATGATGATGTTGCTCTGGTACTTGTTGTAGTACAAGGAGCCGTTGAAGACCACGTGACCCGTGCCAGACCAGGGGTGCGGCAATTGGTGCTGCACGAAATTCTGGGTCTTCATGAAATCGTTCATGGTGCGGTACTCCTGCACGCGGCGCCCTTTGAAGTAGCCGTCCATGAACCAGACCTGCGGAAACGGAACAAATACTTAAAGTCAGGGTAGAATCGATGTGTGAGGCTATAATTGATACATTTATTCATAGACCCTGCAAGAGGTCTGAGGTGGTTCATATCCGCTAACATGCCAGTGACGCACATACTTTTTCCAGCCCACAAAGTGCTTGTGTGTGCTTTACTTTTAGCTTAAACCACAGTGATGCCCAGGAAATCATCAAATCCCCACATCTGTAACTAAGCTGACCCTTTCACTACAGCAGGCCCCAACATCAATGGTGTATATTGTTTGATCTGGATCTATTCATAACTTTCTCTCATGATTTATTCAAGTTTTAATCCCAATGATAAACAAGATGCCGGTAATTCCACAGTTCAGTTTCAGTTCAATTCAAACAGTATGATCTTTTGAAACTGTGTGCTTTCGAGTGCATACATTCGTAAAAAATAAAAATGTAGCTGGAAGACGTTTGGTACATGAATATGCACAGATGATCACTTACACTCATAACAATTGTAAACCGCTTTGAGACTTTGATCTGCAGTGAAAAGGTGGTATATAAATAAAGATTACTACACAGAGGTGCGGTGTAGTTTCAACTGATAAACTCAGAAAGAAACACTCTAATGCTTAGGCGTACATAGGCACACACATACAGTAGGTTTTCTTGCTTCAGCCTACTCCTTTTGAGCTCCCACCCAGATGTAGCTTTGCAATAAAATCAGGAATCATATCAATTAAACTATATCCAATATACAGTGTGTCTTCAAAGTGTTGCCTTCATTACTCTAAAATCTAAACATATGTAATACTAACAAACAAAAGATTTTGAATGAACAACACACCTATTTTTGTTTTTCGCCAGAAGACTGAAGTAGACGGGGGGCTTAGCTAGGGTCAAGGCCCTAAAGCAAGACCCACAGCAAGACTTTACACCTACTGGCAGGAGTGTAAAAGTAACATCACATTAACAATGCATTGCGAATGTGCAGCCTTTCCGATCGACTACACCTGTCCATGTCTGACAATAGTGACAGCATTCTTTTATTATCACCGGTAGCAACAGCAGCCGCAGAAAGAGCATATTGTGTGTCTGCTAGCGTGTGTGCCATTGTGCCTCTCTGCATGTGCAGCACTATTGATCTCAGCTGAATGTGGGAGTGAAGACATTGCATGAGCTTTGCAGTCAACCACCGCCTGTGCACTCTGGCCTTTCCAGTCCACAGTTACAGAAAATCAATTCATTTAGCAGCTCTATCTTTTTCCTCAAGCCCTCTCAGCGGATTGCTCCTCTGACATGGCCCTCTCTTGCCCTGCGTTCCCCATATCATTCCCACAATGCATTGGCCTAGGCACAGTCCAGCTCTAACTGATTCAATTAAACCACACTTGGCAAGGATATTTATTTTGTGTTTAACATATCAAGCAGGGCAATACTGAAGACTAATCTGTATTGAATTATTGCGGCCCGAGTATTTTTGCCATTTATCCTTTTTGCTACGTTGGCAACTTAAGAAAGTTCAGTCTCGCAGGTGCTGGACCATTTAGCAACTAATACAATATGGAGATGCGCTACTGTATTAAAGGCGATTGTAAATATGCCAAATATGGAAACTAACTTTTCTATCGCCAACTTGTACAGTTGACAAACCTGCACACAATATTGCCCAAGTAATGTTCGGTTTAATCTTTTCCTTAATCAACTGAACATTCCTCTAAATAGTGAATGTTTTGTGACATCATACCATTCCAAAGCGCCTATGTTTTATTATTTATATAATCTATGTTTTAGTGCACACAGTCAACCTAATTATGAACAACTCACAAACAAAACACTAATATAGGTCAACAAACCCTAGTTTAATATTGTGTGGAGGGCATAGCTCCTGGTAACTATGGTAACTGTCAAAAGTCTCATTTATCCCATTCTTCTATAGTTGCTGGGCCAATCCACATGAATCAGTCATTTAGTTATTCCTTTTACGAGCTGTATGAGGAGAACAGTTTTGTTTCGATCCTCAGATGCTTGGAATCAGCTGTCTATGGCATCAAGAGAAACTAATGATAGATATAATTTTTACAAAAAAAATAAAACAACATTGCATGAATGAAGGTCTAAGGATGATGTGAAATGTTTATTATTAATATTAATGTTTTAATGTTTTATTATATCATCAAAGGTGTCTAGAAGCTGTGACAATATTCAAAAACATATGCATGATGTTGGCCAGTAGAAAGGACTTCCAGACATAGGAATATCCTTTTCTTTTCAACATTTATATCAAAAATTGTATTGTCACCATCCCTTGGTAACTGAAACATAATTGTAAAACAGTTTTTATACAGCAGCCACCTATTTGAGCAACAGAAGCACCTCTAATGTTATTGATATTTAATGACATAGTGCAGCGACTATTATGATAAGGTGACTTTTCTTGATGAAATAATTTAAAATAGATTGGTATTTTAAAACACGCCAAGCTATAATGGCATACCCTTGTATTGTTCACACTGCCCTCGCCGTTTTGGAATATGCTTTTACTCTCGTTGCCCTCAAGGTGATTTGTAAACTGTGTGCTGCCCTGGTGTTTGAAATATGGTGCAAAGGAAAGGAGATGATGAGGCATTAGGTGTTGTCTCCTCACTGCGCCTCAAATGAGTCCCCTGTGCTGAACTGTGGAGTGGGAATTCAGCCAGGGCCCATTTGGAGGATATTGAGACAGAGCTGTTTTCTTATGCTTCTTAGCTTCTTCAAGGCTGTAATGTCATCCCAAATATAATTACATATGGTTGATGGTGACAATATTGCTGATGCATCATGGGATAAATGCATGAATGTATTGCTGAAACAAGCCAGAAGTTCCCAAGACAATTAAGCGTAAAATATCAAGGCATTGTATCAAGTATAGAGTGTTATGACCTCTTCCGACATGTGTCATGTTTAATCTGGTTGGATTAAGATACAGGATTGAAAAAATAAAGTTTTATACAAATAATTTATCATCGGGAATACGGGAATGAGTAGCGGTAGAAAATATGCACAAAAATAATTTTTTCCCCTTTCTTTTCCTGATCCAACTGAACATCCTGCTAAATTGCGATAGTGCTCAACATAATTAATAAAGCAGCAGCATTTAAAGATCTTAAATTACTTGACTTGAATATGAAGCGTTTCCCTACAAGAAAAAAAACATGTTTATACATTTTAACACAATATGCTTCCCATTTCTCAAACCATTTCCTAACAGAGTTTCACTTTAATCTGACTTTTTCACACACAGCCAAGCCCTGGATTCATAATTTTTGTCTTTGTTTATTCCAAGTAAAGTCTCATTTCCGCTTCAGCTGAACTTAGGTCTCTATAAATTCTTCCTGTCTGTGAAAAGCCATATGTCATCTTTAATCAGGCGGAGCTTCCACTAAATCATGAGCCTGTGGACCATCTCTCAGCACACTTCTTGGTAATTACCTCAGTGATTTAGAAAACTTTATCCCAAACAGCTCTTCATTTGTGTGTTTGATAATAAAGTGATTAATCAGAGCGGACGGCGGCGACAGAGGGAGACGGGGATGAGCGAGCAAAACGGATGCCATCCATCACTGACTCAGCTCTGCATTCCCACCTCAAGTCTGTTTGTGCTGCGTGTTCTGTGTGCGGGAGGCTGCAGGCTGTCAGGAACATGACAGCCGTGCAATGAGGACGTTTCTCACCTGAGCAAGTGTTGGACTGCTCTCAAGAACTATTTGAGAGGTTTTTTTGCCAACAACATGTGAAAAGTAAAAGGTACCGAGTGTTCCATGGACACTGTAAAACTTACTCTATTGTCTGAGCTGGGGATCATGGTGTCTGTCATCCAGGAGCCAAACCGTGACCCTGACGCCCGCACAGTGATGGGATTACTGACTCCGGTGAGTTTTCCACAACCTGCAGGTCAAGCACAACAACAGTGACATTTCATGAAGTGATGTCCACAGACAACAAAGGTTTGTCATCCTATCATGGGTAGATCACTGCACAAAGGTAAAATCTCAAAAGCTGGAGTTTACTTTGTTTCATAAATACATATTGTTTGTGCCAACAGAGAGTTCTGTTTAAATAACCTTTTGTGAACAAATCAGTCAAAAACATGCTGTCTGATTAGAAAAAATATGTCATCTTTTACATACAGAGATCTTATTCTTGATACGGCTGGTAATTTTCACTGAAAAATAATCTGGTTTAAAGATGTGAAAGAGCCAAAAAATACAGGCTTGTGATAGAACCAGACGCTTTACAGAACTACATGAATTTTTACTACTTTTTTGTGATTTCCATGTGTGATATTCCAGATTTAGGCAACATTCACTAAATTCAAAGGGCAAAGAATTAAAGACCTCAATTACTGCACAGACTAGGGGTCAAGCGCCACTTATTCTCTAGACTAGCCCTTCTTCTAGATTTATAGTTCATGTAGCAGTTGATTGAAAACTGAATATTGAATTAAGTAATAAATGACAGTAACAGCAGCCATAAATAGCCAATATTTTACATTTTTCCAATAACATGAGTTCATTTACATCCCTACAGAGGGCCTCCATCTCTCCTTTATTAAAACTCCATATCAAAATGTATGTCTCTTCTTTACACTTGAGCGCACTCTGCTTTTGGCACATGTTCTCTGACGGATATCAAGAAAATTGGCTCTGACTAGATTCACACATGCACAAGAGAATGTGTGGCTTAGATTTCCATTTTCATTTGAGGAAATAGTCTGTGTGGATTACGGCTTGTACGGGAAAGGGCCAGAATGGTTATGACAACAGCACTATACCTAGCTTCTGCATACAGGAGTGTAGCCTGGTCTCCAACAGCAGGACCCTCTGCCGCAGTTCTTCATAGTCGTAGGCGCCCAACTCCTCCTGAATGGCCATCAGCACCAGAGAAAGATTCCTCACTTCTTCTCGCAGTTTCAGGATCATTTTGGCATCAGTTTTGTACTGCTCCAAAACGGGCAACAGGGGGAGCAGCTGGGTCACCTTGTCCTTCAACTCCTACAAAAGAGTCCCCAGGTAAACAAAGTATCGTTTTACAATAGAAATTCTCTATTTTCTCCACTCTTTTCTACTTTAGAGCTATTTATGTGTGCAAAACAGGGACTTTTGTTTGACTGGTTTGTCGCATGACTGTGTATATATGATGTATGTACAATGTATGATTCAACGTACTTTTTGTCCATGTAGTTGAGCATTTTTTCATCAGCATAAAAAGGAAAGGAAGGTTTCTTACCCATCATCTGTACTTCTTAGCAGGTTTTCACAACGTTTCGTCCTTAATCCAAAGAATTTTCTCAAGGGAATGAAGGCTCAGACTCCGCAGGAGATTAATAACCTGCGGGTGTGGTTAGCCACACCCTAATCCTGATGCTAACTCATTAACACATTTAAGGTCTGTTAAAATGGGGTAGGGAGCCAGTCTAACGACCCTGCTAGGGCTGACGAACTCATTAGCATGTTACAGTCCTATTGTCTGTTGTGCAATTTTCCTGCAAATCGTGCAAATTCTGGTCTGAACCTAAAAAAGTTTTTTAGATTAAGAATGAAACGTCGGGAAAACCTGCTAAGAAGTACAGATGTTGGGTGAGAAACCCTCCTTTGCTTTGACTAAGATAAGATAAGACTTTATTGATCTCACACTAAAATTTACATGTCACTGTACGACTGAGAGCGTACACAAATTTATCAGCATACAAAAATACAAAATATATGATCCAATACCATTACAAAACAAAACTTTGGCATGCCAGTTGTTGTCAGCTTTACCACAACACTCTGCGCTCTGACAGTTGGTTAAAGTCGCTATAAATGCATCATAGTGAACAATTAGGATGTGTGAGATAGTTCAAACACATTACACTTTTGTAATATTGTACAAAATGCAATACAAACTGTACTGTCTTCAACTCCTTGGCTTATCTTATAGTTAGGAAAGAGAAAAGGCCACGTAATCCTTAAGTTCATTCCGAGCCGGAGAGCCCAGGGTCTGCTTAGAAGATACAGAGCTGATGGAGAAATAGGCATATCAATAAAGTGTGCCGGCCACAGCAGGGGCGGTTTCCTCCTTGTTAGGGTTTATCGTAAATCTGGTGATGGAGCAGCTCTCAGGCCTGTGGCGCCACATCATAAATCTCATTTTCCCCTTTTCAAGCCACAAAAATTCAGTCTCGTTAATCTCCCACCCTCTGCCATCGGCAACTTTGAGCTCCACGCATTCATCAACCAACCTGCACCGGCCCAATCCCACTGTTGTAGGAATAGAAGCTTTTAATATGGAGTCTTATTGGTTCACCGAGATTTGCATTCAAACCATACGTAATGCAATGTGCATAATTCAGACAGCTAAGACGGATGCGTTCACTAAGTTCATAAGCATCTTTATTACGTTTACAGCCAATAGAATTACTTTGATGTAATATGCGCAGTCAGTCATATCTGCGTTGAAGTGCCAGCAGCGAAGATCTTTCACCATTTATCAAGGCACTTTTAATCAAACTGTTTAAAGCACAATCCAATATCTATGAGAAAAATGTGCTGAAAGTCGGACAGTCCCTGATAATATGACAAAAAGACTCACTGATAACAGCTGCGGAGTATGAGCGTATAGACAGATAAGAAGTAAAGGCCTTGAATGCATGTAGCTTTTATTCAGCGGTGGAAAACACTTGTCATGAAGCAGCAAAGGGAGAAGACAGGAGCGCCTGTAAGACCAGCCGTTTAATAATTCAGCTGCGTGTGAATTTGTTTAAATTTTGCTGTGTCTGGCTCAGTGATTCAGAAAGAGTTTAGGAATTGAATTGGAATGTAGCAGTGCTTATGCAGCAGTCTGCCGAGAGTCGTCCTCAGTTTTATTGTCTATGAAGAGCAAAAGAGATAGCAATCCTTCTACCAAAGTTTGTATGCCCTCACAATGAAGTGCCGCACTCTTCCACCACAAGACAATAACACATACACTTACGTACGGCACTGTGCTGGAGATGACAGGCAGCCAATTACCTGAAAGCCCTTTGGATTGAGGCTGCGCGGGTTATCAGAGGCCACCTTCAGTTTCCCATCCACCACTTTCATCAGGCTTTCTGTGTTCCTTACATACTGGAGGTCTCTGTATGTCCGTAAGTCCAGCACCTCCATGGACTGGCTGATGTTCTGGACCTGTTCAGCAGGCACAAAAAATCAATCCAAGTTTTAACATGATGTTATCTGGCTGCACTGATTTTATGTCAAATAAGGGGGTCACAAAATACATTTTTATAGGTTGTAAATGTTGAGATGATGTATGGGCTGCATGTTTGAGATATACCTGTTTTTAAAGGGTTGAGTAACTAGCTCTACAGTTTATTTGTAATGAAGAATAATTGGTCAATGATATTGGTTGTGAAGAGCAGTGTATATTGCTCTATAATGCTCTTATAGTGCCAGATCATTCTGACCGATCTATCTTGTTTGCTAAGCACCACCATCATTCATGTGCATGCCAAATATTTTACCTAAGGACACAACAACAGTGTGGCAATTTACAGCCACAGTCGCCCCGCTGTAGCACCTCATGTTCGCAGAGGTCTCCCGCCACACTGATAACGAAGCTTTCACATGCAGGTGTCGCCGGAAAAGACACATGTTTCTTGTTGAGGTGAATAGTACCTCAGTAGCATGTACTATGGTTCTGTTTTTATCATATCTATCAATCTATTTTGGTCTTAGTGGCAAGCCATCGGTTGAAATCAGGGGTCTCCCACCAGCTCGCCACCCACCCATAAATGCAAACCGACTTGTGCAATAGTATTGATTATGTAAAAATCTTTCCCCAGGACCACTTAAAGGAGTAGCAGTCTGCCATTTTCATCTCAAGAAAAAGGTTGGACACCTCTGGTTTAACCATTGGTAGTTTGAATCAATGTGTTTTTAGATTACAGGCGGTTCAGGAGAGCAAGATCCAGTAATACTAATGATAAAAAATAATAAAAAATAACAATAATAATATTAATATATCTGTATCAAGACATTACTGTATATATCACAGTAATGTTGCTGCTTAGCATCTGCTCAGTGGATATTTATTGTTTTTCTGACCAGACTGCAGGGAACAGCACAATTGATATACCGGTAGATATGAATGTTAATTCATCTTTATGTTTGGAAATCATTTGACACATTTATTAAACTATTATTTATTCATATCTCAGCTTCAAATTGCTCAACATTTTATTCCTGCAGGGTGGTGACAGCTGGGCGCTCAGTAATTATGCCCAAGTTAATATTTACAACATGCAAATGAAATACATTTTAGAAAGTATGTTGGGATGCGAGATTGCTCACATTGCCCTAAAGTCAACTTTTCTTTCGCTGTTAATTTCTTACCAAGTATGTGGCTTGCTCATTGCAGCACGGCCCACTCTGATGCGGCATAACAAGCCTACTGTTCCCTCCACCCCCTCATCGCCTGCACAGAGCTCCCAGAGACACGCAGGGTGGTCCTATACGAGTGCAAAGAGGCATCCCATGTCCCCAAAATGAACTAGAAATGGAATATATTGACTCGATTGTAACAAAACAAACCAAAACACAACACATGGCATCTGTCTGAGGTCACTCTTTGGCACGAAGTTTGTTTTGCACCATTTGCCAGAGTGAGTTCTGTGACTGCCCCCTCACATTACTTTGCATTCAACTCCTCGTTCTTCCTCCCAACTCATCTCCCACGACTCAGAAGCCGATTGGGGAATGTTTGATCTCTGTAAACATTTGCTCCAACAATTGAAATGTATACATCAGCTCCAGCGTAAAGGGGAGCTGCGTTTAAAGAGAGGACATGTGTAACCTAAAGCACCCACCTTCTCCCCTGTCAAGACATCCATACTTTCCCCAAATTACATACAGTATACCTGTACTCAGAGATGGGAAAATTAATTTTTAAGGATGGGCTTCTGACAATATTTACATAATTCTATAGTTCCACTGGGTTTGTTATAAAAACTAGTGCTCCAAACTAATTCAAAAATAGAGGGTTTGTTTTATCATGATTCATTCATTCATTTTCTTCCCCTTTATTAATCCATTTCTGGGTCGGGGGGTGTGGCAAGGAGAGCTGCCACCCAGTGCTCATAGCACCAGTCCCTCGCTGATCCTCTGCAGGTGGTGAGTCCACAGGAAGATGGCTACATTAGTGGTGCCACAGCCTTGGTGATTCAGCAGGGGCTTCAGGCAACGTGGGGTTAAGTGTCTTGCCCGAGGACACAACCACAGTAGACATCAGTGGGGAGCAGTTGGATAGGTCCCGGGGTGGGCTCGAACCCCCTACCTTCCAGCTCAAAGGCCAATGCTCTACCAACTGAGCTACTGAAGCCGATATATATTATCGTTATTCATCAAAGTTGTGACAAAAATTAAACCCAAAGGTAATTTTCCAACTTCTGCTTTAGCCGTGGACAGACAGACTCTATGCACGATGAAACATACCCCAAAAGCCATCACAAGTATTTATATTTTTTGCGTCTCATTTTATGATAAGAAGTTTTCTTACTTGTAATCTGATTGTTAGTATGATGTAATAGTTTCCATTGACACAGTAAGACATTCATCTAAATTGGATGATGTAATGATGGTTTGCACTACTTTCTTCAACTCATAAACTGAAAATGTTTGTATTATTTTTTATTTGTATAGAGCACTTCACAGACCAAGGTCACACAAAGTGCATAGTACTGCTATTTTTACATCCACACACTGCGATGACAGAAGCGAGACGCCGAACACACGGGTGCATCGAAGCCTCCAACAGTCACCATCCATACACTCTCATCACATTCATACCCATTCTACTTGTTTACAGGGGTAGGGGAACCGGAGCACCTGGAGGACACACAGACACCAGGAGAACATGCAAACGCCACGCAGCAAGGCCCTTTCTGGAGATGGATTTAAACCCAGACCCTTGCTGTGACGCAAAAGTGCTAACCAAGCTCTAACCAAGCTCTAGCCAAGCTCTAGCCAAGCTCTAGCAAGCTCTAACCAAGCTCTAACCAAGCTCTAGCCAAGCTCTAACCAAGCTCTAGCCAAGGCCCTTTCTGGAGATGGATTTAAACCCAGACCCTTGCTGTGACGCAAAAGTGCTAACCAAGCTCTAACCAAGCTCTAGCCAAGCTCTAGCCAAGCTCTAGCAAGCTCTAACCAAGCTCTAACCAAGCTCTAGCCAAGCTCTAACCAAGCTCTAGCCAAGCTCTAACCAAGCTCTAACTAAGCTCTAAACAAGCTCTAGCCAAGTTCTAACCAAGCTCTAACCAAGCTCTAACCAAGTTCTAACCAAGTTCTAACCAAGTTCTAACCAAGTTCTAACCAAGTTCTAACCAAGCTCTAACCAAGCTCTAACCAAGCTCTAACTAAGCTCTAACCAAGCTCTAACTAAGCTCTAACTAAGCTCTAACCAAGCTCTAGCCAAGCTCTAACCAAGCTCTAGCCAAGCTCTAATCAAGCTCTAACCAAGCTCTAACCAAGCTCTAGCCAAGCTCTAGCCAAGCTCTAGCCAAGCTCTAACCAAGTTCTAACCAAGCTCTAACCAAGCTCTAACCAAGCTCTAACTAAGCTCTAACCAAGCTCTAACTAAGCTCTAACCAAGTTCTAACTAAGCTCTAACCAAGCTCTAGCCAAGCTCTAACCAAGCTCTAGCCAAGCTCTAATCAAGCTCTAACCAAGCTCTAACCAAGCTCTAGCCAAGCTCTAGCCAAGCTCTAGCCAAGCTCTAGCCAAGCTCTAACCAAGCTCTAACCAAGCTCTAACCAAATCAGTCTTGAATGTATTAGATCTTCTGAATGTAGCAACGGGAGATTTTTGGCTATTATTCTCTAACTGGGTTAAAGACTGTTTGATCTTGTCTGTGTCTGCTTCGCCTTGACATCGTCCGTCTGTGTTCTGTTTTGTATTTATTCATTATATGATTTGTCTTGCGAGATTTAAAATTATTTTGTGTCTACCTGTATGTTACCTTTGAACCTGCCTTGGGACTACGGCAGAAATGTATCAGTTGTGCTAAGTCTTGCCGCATTTACACTGACGCTTAAGGCCTCAATATCCTTGGCTATTTGTGTCCCAGAGAGACGGCGGTTTCTTGCAGCTTTTAAAACAATAAGCATGCTTTATTACAGCGGGTTCATGTGAGGATGTCCCGACAACGAGGGCCTCTCACATTCACTGGTCGTGACTGGAGTACGGCTGACTACAGGAGTTCTCATTAGGCTGGACTAAATGGAAGCACTTGCTCTGCATCTTATAGGCGCTTTTACAGAGCAAGGGCTGCTAATAGATGCAATAACGAATGCAAAAGGATCAAAACTTCGCCAACAATTTTACCAACCTCTAATAACAGGAAAAGGGCAGTAATATTTCAGCATCATTGTGTTTTTCTTTTTTGAGGTAAAGACTAATCTTTACCTCAGCTAACCTTTAAAAGCAATCCCAAGTTTGTGCAACTAAAAGTTTTCTCACTCAGTAAGTTAAAGTGGTCTATTTTGCTCTTTAAACTGTGTTGTCACTTCACAATTGACATGATTTGAATCTATAATGGAATTTCGTTGAACACACGCAATTATATCCGTCATAAAAAAAGAAAAAATGCTATAATGTACGTCCATACTTGACTTCCTCCAGCTATGTGCCCACTCCACGCACTTAAGCCCAGCACTCAACCACAAGACTTCAAAATTGGTCAAATTGAAAAGTGTTCTATTTTTTTGTAGTAAGACGTAAAAGGAAATGAGACAGACATTACTAAGGGAGTGAATCTGTTTTATAGATTTTAGCGTCTTATTGATTTATCTCTGTCCTGAAGCATCTGCTGGATTTTAATTTACCACAACGCTCACATTTAGACATCCTTTAACCTGGTTCAAGGAAGCCTTTTCCATTTTAGTTTTTTCTAATCTGTTATTGTCATATGGCCGGCTTTATGTGTAGCGTACTTGTGTTATGCATTAGACAAGAGAGAAGCACAAAATTACATTTGCATACACATCACAGCGGGGTAGCTCTTAATTTAGATACAGCATGTTGCCAATTATTGCAGTCAAAGTCTTGTCATAAAGGTTTACATCCCATTGGCTCTTTTGGACGCACACATTGTCTTTTTATGCAAACTAGTCACTCAACACACGATGGATGTTAACACATTAAAACATTCAAAGGAATAGATTCTTGAATTTTCCTAGTTTTAGAGTGTTTTTTCATGCTGGGATCTATGTTGGTACCAATAAAACATTTCGAGGGAATGAAATAGGAGGGCGTGGCCACAAAATAGCATTGTTTTGTGAATTTCATCCAGCTCAGGAGTGTCAAACTGGTTCCAGGATTTCCTCAAGTGAGTCCAGTCATAACCTGGGAAATGGGTGGAGTCTGGTGTGCTCCTGCTTGGTTGGAATGAAATCCTGGAACCACTGGAACCAGTTTAAAACCCTGATGTTCTTGATGTGTTTTCTGGTGTTTTCTTCAGCGCGGTGATGTTTGATAATGTGTCTGGTGCACACTGGGGTAGCCTTGCACAGTTTTTCCAATGGGGTTTTACTGCAAATGGTAAATAAATTCTTATAATACTTATATCTTGTAATGTTTTCTGATGTTTGGTGATGTTGGGTGACGTTTGGTGCTGTTTAATAATGGCTGATAATGTTTGGTGATGTTGGGTGTGGTTTGTTGGTGATTGTTGTGTTTTCTGATGACGTGGTGGTGGCAGCGGCGGCGGTCACCTTCTCCATGAGCTGTCGGAGCTGTCTGCTGCGCGGGTCTCTGTTACACATGTTCTGAGCCGGAGCCAGCACCGTACAGATGCACTTCCCATCTGCATCCTGCGCAGAGCTGTAAACCTGCCAGCCCTCCTCTGGAATGGGGTACAGGCCCTGCAACCAAACACACACATGGGATCAGGAGGAGGTGGGCAAAACAGATAGTAGATTGGACAAATGTAATGTATGAAATCACTTGAATAAAAGACATTTCAACAAATGTCAAAATTAGAGTAATAACTTTAAGGAACATTCAATTCATGAACTTCTACTGTACCCCTGCTCTTTGTTTAGATGGAAATGTAGTTTTTTTGGCTACAGTATGCCATAATAAAAGCATTAGATCTTTCAACACAGAATATAGGAGGAGAAGACATAAAAACCCAATATATCAGATGTTGAGAGGAATGCCTTGACGTTGATAGTTTCAACTTTCTGTTTCGAGTGAATCCAGGGAATAAAACTATAATACTTCCTTTTTCTCTCTTTTCCATTGCAAAATCACAAAATGTCAGTATTGTGAACAAATCAGGAGAAAACAAATACCGGTAACAGGGAATGCATTTAGTGCTAAAATGCAACATATGTTTTTCCATCTTCGCCCTAGCAAAAAATGAATCGGATGGATAATTGGACACTATCTTTGTAGAAAGCGTATGAAGCAGATAAGTGGAAGAGATGAATGTTTGATTTGGCCTCATTGACAAATAATGCAAACAAGAAGAAAATCCGATGCAGCCTTTACTGTTTGTGTATGCTGCTGCTGGAGGTAAGACACAATGTTTCACTTTGTCAGCACGTATCAGCTGTGGAAAGCATAAAGTCGTCCTCCCTTAAACAACATTTCTAAAGTATTCCATCTATGCATCAACATGAAAACATCTCTCTTTTCCAGATTGCTGTATTGTGAGTATTTTCCGTGTGACACTCTCATTGTCTCTTGGCCTTGTCAAAAGTTATGTACCCTTAAATTTAATTAAAACCTATTGATTTATCCTTGTCCTCAAAGTCATTTGCGGTCAAAAATGTAGATGAGGACGCACAGACTGTCATAAAATGCTAAAAGGATATCAACCCTAATTTGCGATACCTTTAGTATAAGCCTGAGATTTACGATGGGATCCTGCTGCTGTGAGCCACAAAGCCCTATATCTGATGCTCCAACAGATTTCTTATCTCTTAGGTCTTTTTGAAAATGCAACCATTATAATTCCATACTGTATGTAGAAACTGTCAATATATAACCATGTAGTTGTAATTGTAAACTGTTTTGTGACTTTGGTCTCTCAAAGGCGGTTTATACAGTAAATAAAGATTACTTTTACTTTCTTACTTACTTAGTTGCAGACAAACTTAAATGTCAATATAGGCCAGTGTATTTGTAATGCACACTTTAAACACAAGGCAACTCAAAGTGCTAAACAGAACAAGATAAGACACAATCACACAAGACAATAAAAATATAAATATCACAGTACAATACGAGAGCGAAGATGCAATCCCTCAGTGTTAATCAAAGCTAAACAGAATTGTCTTTTACCTGGATTTGAACATTGTCAGATACTGCATAAATCTGTGCACCGCAGAGTCCCAGCAGGAGGCTAGTCCCTGTGCTCCTCAAGAGTCCGAGTTTGTTCATTTGCCATATGAAGTCTATTCTCCGAACCACAAGAAGCCGGGGCAGAGACCTGAGAAATCGACTGATGTGATTGTACTTTCTGGTTCTAATCAGTCGAGCAGCAAAAAAAAAGAAAAGAAAAAGACGTTTGTTTGGAGAGCCCAGTGAGCAGTCTGTTACAGTTGACTAACCTACTGAAGACAAACGCATAGATACAAATCCACAAGTCTCCAATATAAGAGCATAAGTGGAAGGCGTCCTACTGTGAAGTGTGAAGACGGTAAAGCTAATACGTTTGAACACGGAGAGGAAATAGAGCTGTTTGGGGTCGATAATGCTGCCCCGATGCCAGTAGGGGCAGACCTGATAGGAGTGCAGATGTCTCCTTCTCCTGCTAATCCAATCCAAAGTAATCTGTGTAGTGGAGAGGCACTCGCACATGTACAGCCCAGCCAGAGCACACTCGATCTCGCTGCATACAAAAACATATACACTACAGAGAATGAACAGCTATTTTGGAGAAGGCATTTAATCTGCATAAGTGGAAGGAGGGAGGAACAGTCTGCAGGGGAAAGAGGACGCGTTTAAACTAGTAGCCAGCCACCCTGCGAGCCGACGTGCTCTCTGTCACATCTCGTTATGCTCTATAAATCCAACCAATCCAAGCTTCTCTGTCCTTAAGGCGAAGGGAGCAGAAGAGAATTTATCTATATGGCACATTTCATACAGGACTGCACCAGATGTTCTTCACAAAGACAGTGCGTTAAAGCAAAATCACAAAAACACAGTGAAGAGATAGCAGCCGTGCCAAGTCTAGTTGAATCTTAAATTAGCTCAAGGTGTGAGCTCCAGAGTGTTCTATTTACAAGAAACATAATGGGAGAAAGCTGCTTCTCCCACCCTCAGCCTCACACAAGGGTTGAGGTCGGAGAATCTGAGACTGCATACGCCAACAAGGCCCTGGCTCGCTAAAGTCAAGTGAGCAAACAGCATTATGTACAAGTGCTGTAACGGTCTTTGCCCAGAGGAACCAGTGGGAGCAATGGGGTCTCAATTATAGGAAATTTGCCAAAAGTCGATAATGTGTTTAATATGTCTCAGTTATGAGGCGATCACAGAAATCAAACAAGCATGGATAATTCCGTAGGCAACTCTTAGATTGCAAATGAAAGGAAGAATCAACTCTAACACGCTAAATCTTGCACCTATAAAGGCATAATTCACAAAAGCTGTAGAGCATGTGAAAAATGTTGCTTATATAAAAGGAAATCCCTAATATAGTAGTTCAAACAAGTACATCAAAGTTACAACTTCCACAAAGAACAGCCTTGACATAAATTTGTTCACAAGCAACGCCAGTTTTGCACCTGCTTGACAATATTGCAGCTTTTTTTCCATGACATATGCACTTTGTATTTGTAATTGAAACAACTTTAAATCTAATTTGAAACAAGGTCATTAAGTCATTGGGTGCTTTTTATTAAGAAAAGGTGTGCTCAGGAGCAGTCAGCAACAATGAGAGAAGCAATCTTCAAACTCATTCTCGTCTCTGCACAAATTGACCTGACGCTCCGTAGAAAATGATGGGCTCCACATTTCAATTACGTTTCATTATTCTGCTGTATTTTAGCGCGTCACTTCAGGCATGTACGCCCTTCTTCTGTCAGCATCTTTCTTGTCATTATTCAGCTCTCTGTAAGGCAATTGAGATGCCTGTTTGGAGAGACTGAGGGAAGTCTATGGAGGCCTGAGATGAAGGAAGGAACGAGACAAAGAAAGAATCCAAACCTCAACCCATTTCTTTGAAGTCTTTTGACACCTTTTTTCCCGGGCTCGTCACCTGGGGGTGCTACCCTCATCGTGTTGGCTCACCTGCGGCAAATCTCCAGCGGATCCCTGTCCTATATTTAACTTACTGTGAGTGTTTACAGAAAACATATTGGTGCCCATATTCTCATATGCGTTTGTGAATTATTGCTGTCAGCCGAGAACATATTGTGTGCTGTAATAAATTCATAAAAATGCAGAAGAAAAGTTGTGACTGAGCGACAAAAGCAGGGTGTGTGTCTAGAGATAAAAATAAAAATTGTCTCTGAACCACCCAAAAAGTATTTCTCATATAACATCCTCCAGCTCATAGTCCTGACCAAGTTTAAGCACCGTCTGATTCAATAAAACGATGGGGCGACAGTGGCTCAGTCAGCAGAGCGTTGCTGACAGAGCGGCCATCCTCCTGTGGGCTCTCCACCTGCAGGAGGATCAGTGAGATGCGCTGAGAATTGAGTGGCAGCTCTAATTGCCACCCCCTGACCCAGAAATGGACAAAGGGAATGGAATGGTTTACAAGTCATTACGAATGCAACCAAACCTCTGTTGTCGATGTCCTTGTGATAGTAATAATAATAACTATCACCCTGGCAGGTTGGGGTTCTGCAGATGGAAATTAGACTAAGGCTATAATCTGACATATTTACATTTGTGAAAATGTGTTGTTTGTTTCTCAAATAAATAAATAATGCATAGGTTTTATTTTGGACACTCAAAGATGCTTTACACGCCATTACTCATTTACTCCCTACACAGTGGTGATAAAATACTATTGTAGCCACAGCTGCCCTAGGCCCACTGACACTGAGGCAACCAGTATGTGCCATCGGCCCCTCCTACCACCACTGACTGTCCACGCAACATCTGACTCATTCTAGGCAATGTGGGTGAAGTGTCTTGCACTAGTTCACAGCCACACCCAGAGGTCTCCCATCACTGTACAAACCAGGCCCTGCCCTGCTGGGCTTCAGAGGTCTGACAGGATCTGGGTTTCCCATACAGGTATGGGCACAAAGTACACATGTATCTCATAAAAATGTGTATGTAATCACATGCTCATAATCTGAAGTTTCTCAGAAAAGTAGATGTATCTTTAACAGACCACTGGGCGTCCATAGTGACCACAGAGGCAAAATATATAGAGTGAGATTTGTGTCATAATGATACATAAAAATATATATATAAATATATTATAAAGTAGATTTATTCAAAATATGTTACTTGTAATTATGGGCTGCAGATTAACATATGAACACGTGGGAAATCATGTGAAAACATTCTGCATCCCGCATAAAAGTCTAACATTTTGAAAACATCTAGTGTTTGAGTGAATCCTGTGCATTGATGTCAAATGTTGGTGATTTACACATCCGTAATCAAACATGTGCAAAAGTACATCTTTGTAAGTCAAAAATATGTTTTATTCACAAATTCTAGAATACAAATGAGATGTTGTGTGAATAAATCCACACATGCAAGTCAGATATTTTGAATAATTCTACTATTTAGAATTAATTTCTCTTTTTGCATGAATGAATCAGGCCATAAACAATAAGCTGTAAAATAAATAAACTTGTATCCACAAATAAAAACTGTGGTATATTAAAGTTAGTTCCAGCACATTTAGCCAAAGAGGCTCATTTCCATCTGTAGTACGTTTTACTCTGCC